TTGGAAGCCCTATAGGGCAGTTCTACTCTGTCCTATAGGGTTATTTTGAGTCAGAATTGACTCGAAGGAAACTGGTTTTCTGAAATATCTAAAAAGGAACTGTACATTGCTATTGTAGGCTATCAATAAATGTCTGGAGCTTGCAACAATCCCACTGGCCTTGGGGGATCATGCCCACTTGCTTCTCTTCCCTATAACTAAAAGCTGTTCTATCCAGTGCCTGTGTGAGCCATGTTTTTCTTAGCAGCCTCAATACCTGCTTGACAACAGATATGCTTGAGATGTCTTCATTCTCCTTGTCATATAATATTCTACTGTGATAACATGATTCATTTATGCATTTTACAATTGATGTACATTTGGGTAGTTTCTATTTTTTTAACTGTGTTTTAAAGGAAAGTTTACAGAGCAGATTAGTTTGTCATTAAACAATTATACACGTATTGTTTTGTAACATTGGTTGCCAACACCACGACATGTCAACACTCTCCCCTTCTCGAGCTTAGGTTCCTCATTATCCTCTTTCTTGTCCCCTCCTGTCTTCTCGTCCTTGCCCTTGGGTTGGTGTGCCCGTTTAGTCTAGTTTTGTTTCATGGGCCTGTCTAATCTTCGGCTGAAGGGTGAACTTCAAAAAATATGGAACACTTCACGAATTTGCTTGTCATGCTTGTGGAGGGCCATGCTAGTCTTCCCTGTATCATTCCAATTTTAGTATGTGTGCTGCCTGCCTAAGCGAACATGTGTAGTTTCTATTTTGATTACTGTGAAGTGCTAAAATAAATCTTTCAATGCATGTGTTTTGGTGAGTATATGTATACATTTCTGTTGGATAAGTTCCTAGGTGTGGAATTGTTATGTCATAGTGTATGCATATTTTAGCTATTGTAGATACTGTCGAACTATTTAACGATAATTTACAGCAGTGTATGAGAGTTCTGGTTGCTCCTCATCCATGCTAATATCTGGTATTTTCTGCTTAAATGCTGTATTTGGTATCTCACTGTAGGTTTAATTGGCAATACTCAAACTCCAAAGAAGTGGAGGACATTTTCATATGTTTAATTGACATTTAGATATCCTCATTTTTGCAACATCTTTTCCAGGATTTTTTTAAGTGAGGGAGATAGGGATGCTTCTGTTATTTTCTTATTGATCTGAGTGCTTGGTTGAATATATGCAGATATATAGATATATGTATTGTAAATATCTTTTTCGAGTTGATAACTTCC